TCCAAGTCCCCAGGGGCCTCTGCTCTACTTCAGGCTAGGGGACAGCAATTGCCCAGCACAGTAAGGAGCCTGTCCGCGCTCACTGCCCTCCCTGCAGCACGGGCATCCACACCAGCCAGAGAAAGGCACCGTCTCCCTGGCCTGGGCCACCTCTTTGCGCTTGCCGCAGCCCTCACTTGCCTTCTTCAAATGTCATCCTTCCACTTGGTCCTCTCCTACACCCTCGACTAGAACATATTGACAGAAGGGTCTTTTTTCCTCCCATTTTTCTCCCTGGGGACTTTCTCTTATTATCAGGTCTCAGCCACACAGAGGAGCCAGTCTAAGATCTGAAGTGGGCTTCTGCCCAACCAGTTGCCATGGCTCATTGCACCTCCCCGTTTTTTTGATGCCTAAAGTCTTGCAGTATGGGTCCTATCTGGCTACAGTGCTTGAACATGGAGGGATGGTGCCGGTCTGATTCAGCTGCAGTAACCGACACGGTTTTGGTGGGACGCCAGTTGTACCATTCCCCTGGAGGATGAGGGCTGACTGGGTCCTAGTTTGTTCTAGTCCGTAGGCTCACAGGACACTCATTTTCTCAAAGAGGATAATGCTACTATTGAAAGGATAGAGAGGTGGGAAGAGAAAAGGTAAATAGAAAATGGAATAGGAACAGAACACGTGCATTAGTCAGCCTTTTCAATGCATAATAAAAAGCATTTATATGAGATTAAATTCAAGCCTTGTGTAAGTGAAAGACAGATATTGTACTTGCTTTCTGTAAGAGACTGAATTTTATCTAAGCAGCTTTACATTTTCTAAAAAAAAAAAAAAAAAAAAATTGCACAAATGTTGACATCTCCAAACCTACCTCTCCTAAAATTTCTTTTAATAATTTGATGGCTCCTTCTTACACTGCAGTTTGTTTTCATTTTTAAATCACCAGTTGTTGACTTGCTTCCTTTCTAAGGTTGTTTTGTTTTATTGCTTTGCCCTTCAACTGCCCTTTCCTTGCACTTCTTATGATATTTGCTCCAGTACAGAAACCTTCAACACTGTTTGGTATTCTTCCTTGTGCCTTGTTTTGTACCTTATTTTTACATTAAATTACTAGTAATTTGTTGTCACACTTTTTAAAGATTGTACTGTTGAGGATAAAAACAGGCACCAGCATCAGTGTGAAGGGGTAAAAGTGGAAAAGATAAAACAACTACAGCTTATGTTGAGACCAGTCTTTCTTTATTATGTGTATGGTGAAGTATGTTCATGTAGACTTAATAATTTCTCTGTAAGAGTTTGGGAAATCTCTCCATGTCTCTTTGTTCCCTTAGTATAACAGTTCATATGTTTTCCTTGCTTTCATCACTCCCAAGCACTTACTCCCCTGCCCCCCCCAGTCTTTTCTCTATCTATTTCTATATTTTTCATGTACTATCTACCTGAGATCTTGTGCTAGCTTCCCTCTTCTGTTTAATATTTCATAAATCATTATACAAATTCAAAGGAAAGAGTAGTCTTTTTTCCCTTATGCCCTTAAATTGAACTATCTGCTTCCACAAGTTGGAAGGACTCACTGGCAGACACACACAACCTAGCTGTATTTAATCTCCTCCTTTATGTCAGCCCACTTCATTCAGAAAAGAAAAAAGGAATATTGAAACACTATTTAACCCCATTATCACAGCTAGATGAAGCAGTCCCCCTTGTTTCCCACTTCCTAAGCCAGACACTGTCTCTTTGGTACCTTTTACTTTTGCATGCATTCATGTGCATCTCTATACACATGTAGTTTTACACTCAGCTCATGATCCAGAGGTCACTGTGTGATAAACCATTCCCGAAAAAGTGACAGAACAGTAAAGGTTCGGATAAGTTTTTAATCTAGAAAGGGAAGAGACTGAGAGGAGATTGTGAATGTCATAGTTTAGGTAGTTGCAATGAGGAATGGAGGAGCTCTTTTCCTTGATCATTGTGAACAAGACAAGAAATAGTGTGTTTAACTTTGCAGCAATGGAACTTAGAAATACCCTTTTTGTGGTTACAGTGGTGAGGGACTGGAATAAATTGTCTTTTAAAAGCATGGGATCTCCCGAAAGGGGACTTGTAAGCTCTGGTTAGAAAGCCATTTCCAAGGACTAGAATGTGTGTGATTGATCCTGCTGTGAGACAGAGGTGGGTTAGCTTCCTTTCAACTCTGCTTTTTGTCATTCTTCAGCACATTATTGCAAGCAAGTAAACTTGTGGGTTAAAGGAAGCAATGTCATGTATGAGCAGTGCCACACAACAAAATACATTATTTGCATCAACCACTGCTAGAGGAAACTTTGTTGGATTTATTCCTATCCAGGAACAAAGATGAGGTACTGTGAGAGACAGTCAAAAGGAATGTCCGACGAGTCAGAAGAAGAGATAAAGGGAGAATCAGTTATACCACATTAATTACATAAATTAGTGGCCATTTAAATCAAGAACAGTCTGTTTCTTGTGTGTGGTTTTAGTGTGTTTAACCTATGTTTGGTATGTTAGAAGACATCAGAAGATATTTTCATGGAATAGGTGAACTACAGGATCTCTTCCTTAGAAATATCCTGCTGTATTCTGTTGTTGGTAGGAGGCAAAATTACTTCCATTTACTAAATCAATACTCAAGTTCCCATATTTCCCTGTATGCTATAATTGAGAAATTAGGAATACCCAGTATATGCTCATATCAATAGACATACTGGATTAACTGAATATGTTCTGCAATCTGTTTCATGTAGCAGCTCTGCTAACCTGATCTAAGGGTCCTTCCTGAGCTTTGAATATATGTGAAGCATCTGGCTTTGCTAAGAAAATGAGGCTAAACTGTAGATCTTTCTTTATAAAGCATGAAAACAGAGTGTGGTGGGGCTAAGCTACTGCCAGAAAAGTTACTCTTTTGCATAAGATAACCTGTCCCCTTTTCACAAAGACCCAGTGTTTGCCATTTAGATAGCGCACACAAGCTATAGGTTGGAGTTTTTCAAGGGGAGGATTAGATAATTCTGTCCATGTGACTGCAAGCTAAGGCAGTTCTCAGGGCCTTGCCCTTTAACTTGTCCTATCGCTATAAGAGAATAAAGAGCTGATCTAGCTCAGGTCTTTGACAGTAATCACGTGTGAGGAGTTTGGCCAAGATCTGATATTGCACTTACTGCCAGGTCACAGGGAGAGAAATCTTGAGGTCTTTTCGTTTCTTACATCTTACCTGTGCAACAGAAAGACAGCTTAGTCAGTGCTGAACAAATGCCATGATCTGACTAAGGGCTTACCCAAAATATGAGCACAAAGGAAGTGTCTTGTTTTGGACAGTGTGGTGTTTTGGAGATTTTTTTCAGGCTCTAGAGCCACAGCAGTGAGTGGAAGCCCTGCCACAAATTGCAGTGGTCAGGCCCTGTTCCGGGTCCATCCACTTGGCATCAACCTTGCAGAAATCCTCAGTGTCGCTCCGATGGGGCCATCAGTCGAGGCGCTCTAGGAGGAGCCCCTTGGAGCCGGCTCCAGTTATCCAGTTATCCCATCTCTTTTACGGACCAAAACTAAATGGCCTCATTGCTGCTTCTCTTCTGTGAGGAACTTAAAAAGAACATCAGTTAAAGCAATGACAAGGCTTTATCAAAGAACTCCATTTTGCAGTCTCTGACAAAGACATCCAGGTGATTCCTCTGGATGGTGGCTCTGGCTTACTGTGTGCCCCTTCAGCCAGAGAAGCGTCTACTCTGTCTGAAGTGCAACATGATAAAGAGGTCAGAAATAAGTAATACATTTACCCAGTTATTGCAGGGGCTGAGCTTAAGTGGCCACAGCTTCAACTGGCCGCTCACTCTTGATCCCATGTATTGGCATAACCATGGGAGTTGCTTGTCGTTTCAATGTCCTCTTTGCAGTATGCCTGGAGAACCAGAGGGTTAACCCAGCTTCTCTTTTCAGAAGGAAGCTGCACCGCCCCGGTTCACGTACCTCTCTCCATGCCTCGGTGGGTTTCCCATGGCTGCACCAGCCCCCCTGGCGCAGGCACCCCACGCGGAGCGGAGGATGCCCCGTGGGGCTTCAGCGGTGCTCTCCGCGCGAAGGAGGGCTGCTCGCCCGAGTCCTGCCAGTGCCGCGCAGGCTGGGGGGAGCGACCCACCTCCTCGCCCTGCTGCATGAATGGGGGCTTTTTCCTTTTCCTCGCAAAGCTTCCCTGCGGGGCAGCCGGGGCGACCCTGGGGAGGGAGGGTGAGTGAGCCCCGGGAGGAGGAGGGCGGTGGGGGAGACCGTCCCCTCTCCCTGCTGCTGCTGCCGAGGCTGTGCCGGAGCTGTGGATGTGGCTCCCCAGAGTTAGTTGCTCAGCAACCAGAATCAATTAATATGCTTTGCAGAAAGTGCAGGGGAAGCCCGAGCTGCTGTCAGCGAGAAGGCAGGAGGCTGAGGGTGCCTCAGGATCCCACTCCCGCCTGGCACCCATTCGGGGCCACCCCACCCTCTCCGAACCCACCGTTGGCTACTGGTCTTTATCCCCTTCTCCTTCCCTATGATGACTTAGCGCGTGTGTCCACAAATCCTTCGGGCAAGGTATCTCCTTGCTCAAGAACTCTCCTGCTTCGAGGGTTTTGCTTTTAGATCTAATTCGTATTTTGGGGTTATTTGTCAAGCTTTCTCCAACGCTTTTCTAGAAATTCACATTCTTTGGGAAGGGAAAGGGACAGCTGATGTTTCTGTCAGATGGTTTTAGAGATTCCTCAGGATGAGAAGGGTTGTCTGGTAGTGCACCGTTGAGCAGCAGTAATGAAAATGCATCATGTGTGAATTGGGAAAGTTTTTGCCTCTTCCTTTGTTACAAGTAATCAACACTGCATATATGAGACCAAAGAGCTGATACTGATTGCTGTGAAACACACAGATAATAGAGTAAATGAGGGATGGTTGGGTTTTTTTCTTTTTCTTTTCGGCATAGCAATTTCAGGGCTTCGGTAAGGTATTATTTTCTTTCTTTCTTTCTTTCTTTGATTTTCTTTGGAGTCCCTCTGATGACACCACGAATCTGGGAATGAAGAACTTCTTAGAGCTGATTGGAAATGGCATTGCGGAGCTGAAACTTAACTGGAGGAAATATATCTCCTGAAGAAGAACATATAATGCACTGTAAGGATCTGACTTCTGGTGAAAAATTCAAGCCTAGAGAAAACTTGTCCGCTTTGTTAGGAAGAATGGGTTGGACAATTTTCTTCAATTCCAAAGGATATCTGAATGCCATGCTGAGCTTAATCTCTGCAGCATGCTCTGTGCTTCTCATCTCTTCCTGATGCACTGCATGGTAAGGCCTTTTTCCTTCCTTTTAATAATAACCATATTTCTGTTATGGTGAGAGGTAAAAATAATAGCAATCATCAAATGAAAATTGAAAAAATGTAGAAAGCTAACAAAAGAATGTTTGTTTGTATGGTTGTTTCCAGGAGCAAGTGTCCTGATTACTGCAGCAGCTTTGTAAGATCATCTCTGTCTTTCTCCCTTGCTTTGTGACAGTGTGTATGTGCGTGTGTGGGTTTGTGCACACCTGTGCTGTCATTTGCACTTGGACTGGAACACCAGTAGCTGTATTGTGCATATTTCCACACTAAAGAGGATGCTTAAGAATTTGTTTTGACATTTCTCTCTCTTTTCCCCCTCCCTCCATTCCCCTCCTCCTGCCTCCTCTTTCTCTCACTCTGTCTGTCTCTCTGGGGTCATGGTGCTATATCTTCCCTGCACCTCAGTCATGCACTGACCAATAGAAGGCAAAAATAGAAAGTAAAAGAAATCCTGTATTAATGTAAGAATAGTCCTGAAAAAGTATTATCTGAGTAAATAAAAGATACAGAAGGGTTTTGAATGTCTGCAAGATCTGCAGGTACGAAAGATTCACTTTATTTTATTTCACATGGTGAATAAATATCAAATGCAGACTTGGATGCTGTGTTTTAGATACAGGGGGAGGCAGATCCTTTATACATGCCAGAAAGCCAAAAAATGACCACTGTGAATTACAACAATGTTACTCTTGATAACCTAAGTCATAAAATAAGCAAACCCAGTACGAGATATTCTCATGTCATGTAATTTTTGTCATGTATTAGTGGGATATTGAGAATTATTATAAATGGCTTCAGTGGATGTTGTGGGGTATTTTTCATTAATAACTGTAATGTGTTTTCATCTTCCTGGATGAAAGGTGCTAGGGAAGTGCAAGATGATGTTATTAACTAACTACCTGACTTAACAAAATTTAGGGTCATTATCAGGAAATTGCCAAGCAGATCAGTAATTACATAGTGAGTATACTGAGATGGAAGGTTAGTTTTCCAGAAAGCCTCGTTTACTTGGACCTCTGTTTCAGAAATTAGGGTAGAACTAAAAGATGAAAGAGTGGGGATGTGAAATATATATATTTTCTTGTGCATTCTGGTTGATCACTGAGTTTGGAAGAGGGAAAGTTGAGTGCCTCTTGAGGAGCAAACTGTGGTAAGGGCCTGCCCCTGCTCTAAGGGTAATCCCTTGCAAATCTCACTCCTTTTGATGGGGTTAGAAATGGACCAGGAGAGAGTTTGTGGCGGTTGTCTGGGGCTGTCCAGCTGGATATGGAGGTGACGGTTTCCTGGCAGCAGGTGGTGAGGGTGATAGGGATGCAAAAAGCCAAAGCAAAAAGGCCAGGCCAGGCCACACCAGGACTCATGAACAAGAACCAGAGCTTGAATACTATTCAAAAGATGGAATTTTGTGGTAGTTTCCAATACACCTCCTCCTTGTATGATGAAGGACTCCATAAGACAGTTTTTAGAGAGAGATTGGCAATGCAGCTTTTTCAAATCACTGCAGTAGGAGGAAACAGAGACGATACAAACATTCCTGTGGTGTGACAATTTTTCAGTAGGGTTCAGAGGAACCAGCCTTGGTTTTACGAGTAAAGGTTCAAAATATGTATACATGTGCATTGAAGTAGATTTTTTTGTGTATTTTACCATCTAAGAAGTGTGACTACTAGAACAACCAATAAGGAAAACTGATGAAGGACAAAACAACCCATAAATGTCATTTTCCAGTCTTCACTGTTGAAAGAAGCTCTTACTTGTGGAAGTAGTCCCCTCAGCTCTTTTATGTGAACAAGGACTGCATCCTCAACTCAGGTTTCCCGTTGCAAATCTCTCCTCACATCAGCAGTTCTATTTCAATCAATGGGACAACTGTATGAGTAAGAGCTACTCATGTGAATAAATTATTGAAGGTTTTATAAGACCAGGCTCTTTGATTGTCATGGCAACAGATTTATTAGGCTTCGGGCATAATTTGTATTTCCCTTCTAAACAAAATCATTTTTCCTTTTACCCACGTGAATCCTTTTGCCTTGTAATTAGGACAAGAAAAATAGGTTAATTACATTCTTAAAGATCAGGCAACTGTACAGATACATTGTTAGGGAAGAATTATCAGAGTATGCAAAAGTTTACTTTTATTAGTGGTCTCCACATCCGAGAAGTGTATTCTTATTGGAATCATTCATTGCCTTATTTATTTTTGTGACAGTATTAACATTGCTACTAGGTATTGCCAGTTCTTCTGGTAACTCATAAAAAAAAAAAATCCTTTAAGTTATCACTGATCTTATAAAAGTACTCACTATTATTAGGTTCAAGGTTACTTACCAAACTTTCCGCTACATTAAATATTTTCATATTTTAGTTAATACATGATGTTTAGCTCTTTGATTCAGGAACATATTTATCTTTAGGGTATAGAAACACAATATGAAGTCATAGTTATAGTAAACTTCCTACAGAATACAGATATATATTGAAATAGGAAGCATAAAATCATCCAGATTTTCTTTCCCTGTGCAATTTTGCATGCTTATAAATGTCTGTATTATCAGGTTATATATCACATAACAAGAAATATTTCCTTCATTGTAATTTGTAAAGAACAGTTCCTTTTCAGAATACAGTGCATTGGAATTTTTTTTGCGCATTATGGAAGAAAGAAAAATATTAGAAAAAAGAAAGCATAGCAACATTTAAAATGTATCCAGTACAGTAATGCAGCAATAGGTTCATTTGTTTTTTTTATCGCTATGATAGCAACATATACATAGCAAGAATAGTAGATTATTTTCTAGAGTGTGTGATTTTGAGAGAGAAGGTTTTGCATGATACAGGATGTTTGTCGTCTTAAGCAGATATTTCTGTCAATGATTTACTGTGACTTAGAACTCTTTCTTTAGTGACATTTTTAATCATTTATTTTAAACATTTGCACAACAGCTGTATTTGGTTCTCTGTCTCAATTCTAAAGCAAGTAAAATTAGTAATTTCCTTTTCTTTTAAGATATTATTCAGTGAAGGTCTGATGCTGAAAAAACATGTATTTCATTTCAGTCCATTGAACTGTTTCTTTAGATAAACTATGTGAATTAGAGCTCGAACCATCTGCATTATAAGGAAAGTTATACTGAACAGTGGAAATACTTTCCACACTTGCAGCAACTATTTCTAGTCAAGAAAAATGTGCTTTAATAATACAACACATAAGCAGTTCCTGTACTTGGAATGCCTTGAGCTGTCCTGATTCAAGATCTAGCAAAAACCTGATTTTTGAAAGGCCCACAAAAACCCCTAAAGCAAAACCAAACGAGTCTTAAACTTTTGTTGTTTAAACATAAATAGCCACAGAAAGAATATTTATCTGACAAGAAATTTTGGTAGATCAGCATCTGTGTTTTTCATAAACCAGGATAAAAAATTGAAAGGGTGTAATATTTTTAAAAATGTAAAGCTCTGAAAATCTGTATGTATGGAAATACTGATTTCAAAATGACACGTCTTTTTAACATTTTTAATCAGACTTTCATTTGTTACAAGTAATTGTACTGATACCTGTTTATCTGTTTTTCTCAGTGAAAATTTGCAAAACTTTTTTTTTTTTTTTTTTTTGACAGGGAAATGTTTTGTTGTATATTTTTTAACTAGATCGATTATAGCTGTCCCAATATTTATTGGCTCTTACAGGTCAGTTCTTTAATTAGAAACTCTCTGAAGGGCCATCTTTAGCATTAGATGTTATAGAGCCCTATATTACTGATACTGAACAGCAGTTCTTACCAGGTCCATGGTAGACATAAGTTTTCATTGCGATTCCCTCCTTTAATTCTTCTTGTGCCTTCAACAAAAAGCGGGCCTCCATTTTGCTGAGAGTTTTACGGATACCAGAAGAAGTAGTTTCTACTACAAAAACCTTCAAGAGGCCTTCAAAAGGCATGCAGGCAAGAAGTAGAATTAATTGAGTATTAATATCCTTATTAAATAGATAAGGAACTGAGGAACAAAGAAACTGCCCAAAGCTATACTGGCAAGGGAAGAGTTCGGAATTGAACCCAAATGTCCTTATTCTCAGTTCATCACTGTCCCTGCAAGGTTGCTCTTCATTTTGTTCATTTTTTTGTTTAATGACTTGCATTTGGACTTTTAAGTTAATACTAGTTGAAGTATCATATATGAAAGGGAATTATTGAGGCGTACTTCCTTTCTGATCTGACACAGTTGTCCTAAAAATTCTTTTTTCGCTCCCAAGCCATTCTCTGTGAATGTAACCATTAATTATGTAATTGCTTTACTACACAGGGGAAGTATTTCCTAGATTAAACAGAAAATTACTAAATAGAAATATCCTAAGCATTCCATACAGGTTCTGGGGGATGTACATGTGTATCTCTTAATGCTGTCAGGGTTTAAGGACAGCTGTGGAGGTATGTAAATGAATCAAATTTCAACGCAGAAAAAAAATCCAGTTACAAGATAAAAAGACTGATGATTTGCTATCTAGAGTTCACACAGGTCATTATGAATCCAGCACCTGTGGGTAAAAAGATGACACAGGGAATATGGTACCTAACAGTGATTCTTATTAACCCTGGTATGCCTACTCTGCTCAAGGTAATTCTTTCAGCTTTTTATCCTCTTTATGAAAAAGAAAAAGATGATTTGTACAAAAAGTACTTAGCTGCTAAAATTACATCTGAAGTTGGGGAAAAAAATCTGCCTTGGCATCTTAATACAAACCCAGGAAAATTTTGTACATGTCGAGAAGGAAAAAAAGCTTTTTGCAAGTGTGCCAGAGTTTTGGAATGAGTTCTGCAGCAGAATATCCCAGAAGCTTAAGGAGTATCTGCCTCACTCTGGTCTACTGATACAGCTCCAGCTGTGACATACTTCTGGATGCTGACAGGTACCGAACTTACCCAATTACCCAATGACTTATTAATGTAGAAGAGTATGAAAGTCTGATTAA